TCTAAAAGGCCCTGAATTTTGCGCTGAGCCAGGTCAAACATGTTACGGCCCGGGGTCGGTAGGGTTTGCATAATTGATAGTCTCAGCTTTGGGTCCAAATTTACCTATAATTTTGTCAAAATTCAGTATTTATTTAGTGTCTCAATGTGTTAAAGTAAATGTTTAACAGAATACCATGCTGCATAATGCAATATATAGTAATCATGCACAATTGTACATTTATTATATTAATTTTTATTTTGCTGTTTTGCATTATACTGATATTGATGTTGAAAATCATTTGATCATAATATAGGAAATGAATTTTATTTTATTTTCGTCTCTTTTAAGCTTTATATATAAAGTGTAAGGAAATTAATTCAAATCTAGCAATTCATATTTTTAAGTGATTTATATGCAATGGTTGGCATAAATTTAAATAATTGTTTTGTCTTTTGATTAACAAAAAAGATCAGTTAAATTATTCTCTATATTATAACTAAACATTTATTTAATAAAATGCACATCTTATTAATAATAAAACAAATGTCTATAAATAAACCCGGTTTTTTATTTGATTTGCATTATATAAATTAAAAAATGTCATAAAATTCTTGACAATTCTTATGTAAAAGCTATTTATATAGAAAAGTCAGTGTTTTTTGTTTTGACACTAAAATTCTGGAGAAATACTAAAGTTTTTGATTGATTAGGTCTTTAAGACTGCGTCAACACTCAAAGTGTTTTTATTGATATAATCTCTTAACGATTCTTTGGAAATGCTTTAAACTTAGTCTCATTTTTTGGCTTTACAACTATTAACTACTTTTACGTAAGTCACGTAAATTACAAAATTCACCAGAAGTTTAAATATGAGATTATTGTGAACAATTATGAATTTTAATTTATTACATGTAGTGTAATATTTTACAACTAGAAAATTAATTATATAGTACACGTATATTATTTGTGCAATACTTATTTGGTTATCGAAAATGCATTTTATAATAAATCCTAAATTCTTTGAAATATAACTCGCAATATACAGTATAGAAATATTGCTTTGAAAACAATATCTCAATTAAATTATCAATTATTGCATTATGTAATAAAATTCATACTATACTTCAATAGCATTCTAACCTTTCAGAATATCTTGAAAATTACAATAAGTATATTTGAAAAGTATGGTAAGCTTACAAAAATAGAAATTTGATTTTATAATAAGTTATAAAGAAATTTTGAAAAACAATTTCGGACGTATGAGTGGTCTGTTTTAGGATTTCTATAATAAATCACAAGTTTTTTGTTATTATCAGTTGAAAAATTCAAAAACCAAATGTTAACGAATTCAATAATATTAAGTGAATTCAATATAAGAAAAAGTTATAGAATTTGTGAAAACTGCAGATAAAGTAAAAACAAAAACTTCAATATAAAGCTTAAAAATAAAATTAATATAACAAGTACTGTATAATCTTATATTAATATAAATAAGGTGACAATAAAAGAATATAATAAAATGATGAACAGGTATTTTTTATATTATAATTTAGCATAAGATTATCATATTGATTTATATTCTATATTTAGACTACTATTCATAATTATACAAATATTAAGACAAGAATATATAATATAATTTGAAATTTGTATTTATTCAACGATTTCGTGCGTTAACTGATTTCATAATAATAATTTTATTATAATCAACTCACATTTATTATATATACATTTTTATTATATTATATTTGCACAACAGGTTTGCATAAATGCGTTCAAATAAATTTACTTAAGATTTATAAATAAATATAAAATACTTATTTCTATGTAAAGTATGGATAAAATTAGTCTCAAATTTTAATCAATTATATCGCACTTCTTGGGACTGAATATAGGCATTAAGTATGTGTTTGAGTAGTTGTTTAATAAAAATCTATTAAAGCTGCTAGATAAATAGTGTATTATATTTCATAAGACTCGGAGGTTTAATAAAGAAATTGAATAAATAGAGAAAGAAGTGATGACAAGATATTTGCACAGAATATACGTTAATCCGATTTACGGATCCTTTAAATTAATGAGCGGTAAAAATATTAAACCATTGAAAACACATTTGCAATCATATCATAAATATAGCAATATATTAATACAGGATTCATTTATGTGTTTATTATCTACAATAGTCAACCGTTTATTGCAATCTATTTATTGCAATTTGCATAATAAATGTATATATTATCAATTGACTCAGTTTATCACTTATTGAATTACAAAAAGATATTATTTATTAGCTGGAAACTTTCGGTTTTGTAATTGTTAGGAATAGTTTTTCTAATTTATAACATTAAATAACAATATATTGCAAATAGCAAATCAATTGATTTAGCGAGCAATGAGTTGCAAAATAGCGACTAAATTAATTGCAAATACAGCACATGTGTATAATTAATGAGAAACGTGTCTCAAATGAATGCATGAATTACCTCTTTGGGTGCCTTAACAGCGAGAAAGTCGTCAAATATTTTGCGGGCCTTTTGAGTCAATTTGCTTTGACGTGATTTCTTGAACTCTTCGCACGCCATCCAAAACTCGATGTTTTCTTCGCTGAATTCACGCGACAGAAACGCACGGAATAGTGCGCTACCATCTGAACGCCCGGTGCCAACACATACACAGCAAGCCATTCATTAATCATTGAATTAGATTTAAGTGTTAAAAAAATATTTTTTGTGGTCTTTTCTCAATCTAGTAATAAAAATGTCATTTACAAAACACTATATATACTGTATATATAACACAAACTTTAACCTATTCTTAATGCTTACGGAGTAATAAGAGTGCAAACTATGGATTTGTGTGGCATTTCATATGAATTGTGTGGCATTTGGTGTGTTTGTGTTTAGGTCTGCACTTACATCTACTGCTCATGAGGTCGATGAAAGAGTTGGCCCACTTTTCCAGTTCCTCTTTGGAGGGCCGCACCGAGGATTCAATGGATGAGTCCGTATGACGTCTTCGCAGAAATCGTAACCTTTGTTTCATATCTTCTAATGCACTGAGGATTGCAATTAAATCCGTAATTATTATTATAATCAATGAAAGCGTCAATATTATCGGTAAAAGGTTAGAGATATTGATAATAAATGGCATTCAAAGCCGGAAGTGAGTCAATGGTATTGTAATTCTTGCGATTCAAATGTGATATCATTTATTAATGATAAGTGGTATGAGGCACACATTTATTGCTACTAGGTAATCGTTTAATGATAAGAAGTATTAGCATATATAGTTAATAAATCGGAGTTAAATGCAATAATAATTTAGCGATTCTGTCAATATATTGCAATAGATTTCCGGTTTGTCTTCAAATAAATTATAAGTTAAAGCAAGAATACATTTGATATGAAAATGAAAAAACTTAATAAGAAAGTGTTTCATTAGTAATTGCAATTAAATGAACACTTATTTTAGTTAAAATTATTTAAAATATAATATTTACGTTTGCATATATTATATTAGCATTCAATATGATTGCAATGATTAATATGATGAATGCAACGATTGATTATATGCAAGGAATTGGGAATAATGGACAAAATGATAGCATACCTGGATAACATAATTGAGTTGATAATAGGCATTAGAAATTCATTGAACATAGAGCTGAACATTAGAATCACTTGAACACTGAATATGTGTATAAGTTATTGCATGAATTGAATTGAAAATGTAATTTACAACGACTTGGATTCAGTAAAACAGTGTCACACTCTGAAAGTGCACAATAATATTGAGATCGAGATGTGAAGTGAGAGATTGTGTGCACACACTGTATGTGGAGAGAGAGAGAGAGAGAGAGAGAGAGAGAGCAGAGAGAGTAGGAGAGAGCATCAGGAGTGCGAGAGAGACGGAGAGCGCGAGTGCACTGTAAAGAGCAAAGAGTCAACCGTTTGGGCGAACCGTTCGTTATAATCGGAGCACAACCGAGGAGTGCATTACTGTTAGACTGTATTTCCCATTCAAATAACACTCACTCCGATGGAGACTCTGCTCTATATATCTATAAATAGCACTCCAGCTCCTCTTGAGCTCTACGTCAGCACAGACCTCACCATCGGATCAGCACTGGCTCTACCAGTACTGACATTCTGGTGACAATTTTATTTAGATCACACACTACTACCTCTTTCATTATTATTTTACATTATAGATATAAATAGATTTACGAGAACACAGAATATTCTTGTATTGTTATGCAGTCTCTCTCTCTCTCTCTCTCTCTCTCTCTCTCTTCTCTCTTGTGTCACAATTCTTTAGAAGCAATTCCTTAATATAATAATTGAATGCAAATCAATATAAAAATGTTTATTTTGGTTAAACAATTGTGTCCAAATGCATGTCATAGATAAACGCCTCCTAATAAGAATTTTGTATAAAGTTTTCAAATGAATGTCAAACTATAAGTTCTTATAAATGTTAAAGTTTTCCCTAACTCTCTGACAGCTCTCTGGTATAACAAAGTTTGTCTGTATTGGCGTTTCACAACATAATCAATAAAGAGATCACTACATATGAAAGGCTTTTCTAAAAATAGTGTTTTTAAGATAAATATTGAATTTTAAGCATAAAGTATTAGGCATTAGCAGAGTATTATAGAGTGCAAGTGATGGGAGAATTACTTTTTGTATTCACGTCATAAATTGTAAAATACTGTGGAATTACGAGTACTTTATTATACACTACTTATTCATATAAAACATTTCATCATTTTCTTATTCAACGCACTATTTCTCTCATATTATGCGAGAAATAAAATTATATTCTTTTGATTGTCATTCATGTGTTAACATAATCAATAGAAATGAACTTTTTAAAATAAAACATACAGAATATTATGTCATTTGTTACATGAACTCTCTCCCACTCTCTCTCTCCCACCCTCTCTCTCTCTCTCTCTCTCTCTGAACTTTTTAAAATAAAACATACAGAATATTATGTCATTTGTTACATGAACTCTCTCCCACTCTCTCTCTCTCTCTCTCTCTCTCTCTCTCTCTCTCTCTATGTATGTATGTATTTGCGTTCATCACTATTGACTTAAACAAAAATTAATTTCTCTCTTATTCAATATACTTTTATTTAAAATTATATTCCTATTAATAATTTCATTTTCAAACAGCAAAAGACAAATATTTCTATTTAAAGACAAATTCTAATCAAAACAAGCATTGATTGGTTTCTATACTATTGACTTTGCATTTAGCATATAATAAGCACAATATGATTGCATCAAAAGTGTGTTTATAATAAAAATCACAGACTTTTAAATTAGTGAGACATTAAGCAAATGCATTAAGTTTTGTAAATACTGTATAATTTAATTCTTCAAATATAAGGATTCTGTCAAATGTCTGCCAAAATAAATACTTTTGTGATCCACATATATATAAAGCATTTTGTTTTGAATAAAATATGCATATAAATAGAATATTCAAGTTTAAAAATAGACTTTATTTTAAATTAAATCCATATATTATGCAGATTCTGTAAAATTTTTATTTCCTAACATTTTATGGTATATAAAGTAATTCTAAATTTATATGCATTGCGTGTATAGAGATTAATAATTAATAAACTCGTAACTATTTATAGGATTATTTTAGTCTAATGTCAGAGAAATATAATTCCGGTATTCATGTAATTCTTGCATTAGTGGCACAAACCCTCTGCCATTTTGGCAAAAAACCTTTCAATTAAGAGATGATGTCTTTCAGCGTTGTTATGCGATTGAGTGGGTCTTTAACCTTTCGGTAGAGTTATAGTTTGCGCCGGGATCTCCAAAATCTCTCTCTCTCTCTCTCTCTCTCTCTCTCCAAAGAGCAAACGCTTATACTGTACTCAACTTTATAACTAAAATACGAATTTATATATAGAATCGCATGAAAACACTTTAACAGATTGATTGGAAAAATCAACAAAATTACAATTATTAATCATTGAATTGCGTTCAATAAGACTCTTATAACTATCTTATGATTATTAATACTTGATTTCCGTCCGTAAAGAATACTCCGTCAGAGTGATCCTATGTTTGTATCAATAATCAAATCGCTTGCAATAGCTGTGGCTATGTTTGAAGCAAAATCATCAGCGAATGGATGAAGAATTAGATTTCATATGACATCACTGGCTGTATATAAAAATAGGTCTTTTAGTGCTATTTTTAGAAACACTATTCTCTCGGCATATAACCCAAAAAACATATCAAAATGACCCAAAGAAAGCTGTTTTGACACATCAATGACACTTCACTCGTGTTTTTCTCACTATTCGTGCGCTTCTCGAGTAGACATACACTTAATCCGTATTTGATTTGATTTGATGTATATTATATTTACAGTGCACTCGCGCTCTCCGTCTCTCTCGCACTCTCTCTCTCTCTCCGCTCTCTCTCTCTCTCTCTCTCTCTCTCCAAAAGAGCAAACGCTTATACTGTACTCAACTTTATAACTAAAATACGAATTTATATATAGAATCGTATGAAAACACTTTAACAGATTGATTGCAAAAATCAACAAAATTACAATTATTAATCATTGAATTGCGTTCAATAAGACTCTTATAACTATCTTATGATTATTAATACTTGATTTCCGTCCGTAAAGAATACGAGGTCAGAGTCATCCTATGTTTGTATCAATAATCAAATCGCTTGCAATAGCTGTGGCTATGTTTGAAGCAAAATCATCAGCAAATGGATGAAGAATTAGATTTCATATGACATCACTGGCTGTATATAAAAATAGGTCTTTTAGTGCTATTTTTAGAAACACTATTCTCTCCCAAAACACATATAACCCAAAAAACATATAAAAATGACCCAAAGAAAGCTGTTTTGACACATCAATGACACTTCACTCGTGTTTTTCTCACTATTCGTGCGCTTCTCGAGTAGACATACACTTAATCCGTATTTGATTTGATTTGATGTATATTATACAAAATACTGACAACATTTGAACCAAACTTTAAATGCTAATTCTAGCAAGTCTGGAAAACTTTGTTTTTATTGCTATAATTCAAAGTAACTATTTGTATATGCAATCAAATAGTGCAAACCATTAAATTATTAAAAAGTTAAATTAAAAATAGAGCATAAATGCAAACATAAGCTGTTTGGCTTATAATGTAATAAAAAATGCATTAAATTATTATTTCTTAATACATAGAAATCTATTACAGAAAAAATAATTTTTTGATCAGAAAATCCCAGATATTTGTGTTACAGAATTAATATATAGAGTGAACTAATCCCATGCTATGTATTGTTATAAGTTTGTTTTATAAAGATAAATATTAATACTGTATATTTCACACTCTAAATATGTACTAATCCATACAAAACATAAATTAAGTTATATAAATACAGTAATTTATATAATGTTATTAAATTTAGGTTTAAATTATATTATAAAATTATTATAACATAAAAGATATTACGATATACAATAGAATCTGTATATGAATAGTAGTCTATAGTTCTTATTATAACTTTGCATACAAAGTGTACAGTAGTGTTCAAATAATGCAACACTAAAATAACTTACATTTTAGATAAAGTTGGCACTGAGTGACCAAAATAACACAATCAATCGAGTCATACATCAAAATTGTACTTTCAATTCAATCTTTTGTATTAAAAGTCTACTGTAGGTATTAACTAAAGTTTACAAAACTATACAATTTAAATTATAATTCTCGCAATATTCAATATTGTAATATACTTGGTACTATATCATGGTAATCTATGTAAATTTACTCTGAATCTATTTCTATCTCAATAACTTGTAATCTTGTAAGAGTTTCATTTAATCTAGCACTTATATAATCTAAATTATAAAGCTGTTACTACATTATTTAAATTGGGGAGTCAGTCACCTTGCTACTTATTTAAGAATTGTTAGTATAGTATACAGAAGTTGAATCCAAAAGAATTTCAAATCATAATTCTAGCGAAACTATAATTTGAGGCAACGATAGGACTGTTAACGACATCTATTCATGTGATGCAAACACACTGTCATTGCATCTCTCTCATGAAATCAAATAATTGTAATCAAGTCAATAAAAGTACTGTTACGCGCATAACTGTAATGCATTTCATACTACTTTTATTATCAGTTTATAAAATACCACTTTTATATCAAATTGATTACATTATTATACAGTAAGCCATTTAATATCGTAAATCAAACAATTTCTTATATTTGTGTTCATGTAAGTATTTCATGAATTTTGTATTAACAGTAAAAGTTTAGTAAATATATTAAAAGTAGTGAAGTATTGAATAAAAAGTCTGTATTTCATTGAAATAAAAGTGAATTTTTGAGTCAAAAACACGCGATCAGTGTTTCAGTCATTATTTGATTGTTCGTTCAATTGAAGACATTATTTGAATTGATCCCACATTTGCAGTCAAACTATCACCACCTCAAAGACAATAGAGATGTCGAGTGAAAGCAAACCAATTGTGGCCACAAATAGTGACACAAAGAGTGAGGCAGTGGTGAAGACGAGCGACAAACCGGTGGTGAAGCCAAAGGCGCCCAAGAATTGGGACAAAATTGTGAGAGAACTGGAAGAAGAGGATAAGAAGGAGGAGGCGGACGACAACTCAGACCCGAACCGTATCTTTCAGATGCTCTACAAGAATGCCGACGAAGACACCAGAAGAGCGATGAACAAGAGTTTCGTCGAAAGCAACGGAACCACTCTTTCGATGGACTGGAAGTCTGTGGGAAAGAAGTTTGTCAAACCATATGATGATAAGGAACTGGAGTCCGATGATGACGACAAACACGGTGCCAGTGATTCAGACCACTGAACACACTGTCCGTCCAGTGGATACTTGCCCTCAATGTATGGTCTCTTCATTACTCATACTTTTCATCCACTCTTTCATTCATTTGATATTTTACTGTTATTTCAAAGAAATTGTATTTTGTTTTCATATTATTAGTTAAATGTGAAAATTGATTGAATAAAAAGTTTTAATGGAAATACAGTATAATTATGATTTGAGTGGTGGGCCCTCCTGTCCACTGTTTCACTTATTTGTCAATGAGTTGGTTGTAGTGTATGAGCGCAACCCAACCCAACTGAATGTCTTGAGATGATTGTATGACAAGTTGACTAAGTTAAACTCGCGTTTATTGTGATGTTAATACAAAGTTTACACACCGTGACTTACCGTCGTTTACAAAACAGTTTATAAGACGAGAGTGATAAGTTAGTTTAAGGTGTGTAAAATGCTTATAATGAGATTTGAGTTCATTTCTAAAAATCATATAATAATTACACAAACGATTAATATGTTCACAGAATTATTCAATTAATTACTTAACGATTATTTCCGAATAAATGACATTTTACTTGCGAATTGCATATAATTTGCATCGAAAGAGATATAAAAATAAATTACTTTTCAGTAGTTTTCAGTTGTAATCCATTTATTGTAGAAGTGTTGAAGTAATGGCTAAACTGTAGACAAAAAAGTTTTAAGGAATGCAATTCAGCGTAAAGTCTTTTAATATGTTTTCATAAAATTAGGAATATTTGGAAAACTTCTGTTTGGTTTCAATTTTTATGATTATTTTGTTTTTATACACATTTGAAGAATTCTTTTAGAAGATTAAAGAATTCATTAAATTTTGTTGCTTTTGTCTGTAACTCATTTAGAGAGTTGTTTACCTACCAAACCAGAAATTTATCAAATATTAATTCTCTTTGTTAACGAATCTTTTATCAGTAAATCACTCCTAAATTTACGTGGCGTTTTTGTCAATGCTTCAATAGGCAAAAAGCAGTGAAGTTAAGAGCAATGAAGTCATTAAATGTTAAGACATTTGTGACAGGAATAGAAGACTAGAATACATGAGTTATGCAAATCTCGCTTATCTTTCATTCAATAACTGTATGAATGGATGGGAATGGAAGGGAATGGATGTTCAGCACCTACTCCTCTGCTCCCTCAGCCATAAGTGCCACTCTCTTTGTACACTACATCTCAAGTCTTATCTCAATTAAGCAAACTTTAGAACTCCCGGCCCCTTAAACACCACTACATCTAAAAGTGTAATTCACTTTTAGACGACTTATACTTCCCTTCGTTAAGGTTTAAACACTTTTTTATTTTATTGTATAAACGATTAAAAGATTTGACAAAATCTCAAATGTTTTAAATGTTTTGTTGGGTTAAAGCAATATTTTGTGTGCAATTAATGCATGTTTTGTATTCGAGACGTCTATTTATTTTTGTTTTATCTTATCAGCGATTTTAGCAAAATTTTCTCTTAAATAGAGGCTCTGATTGACATCACATCACATCCATTGGTGACAATCTTTTCGTTTATTAGTCAACGGTTGTTATGTTTGACTAGTCGTTGGGTGGACTCAATATTCAAAGATAATATACATTCACTTATACACCAAAGCAATGAATCAAAACTATTGATATTCATTTAACATGAGTTCTTCACATAACTCTGATTGAGTCTTATTTAGATTTGTTTTGTTTAATAGTTTATGATTTTTATTAAATATACTCTGTATTCAAATAGAGAAACATTCATGGTTATTTTTGTTAACCAACCTTTTGTGTGATATTGTAAATATTAAAAGTTTTGATTAAATCAACTTTAATAGTCTATTTTAAAAAGGTCAAGTTTATTGTAACTTGTGTTTGATTATCTATCATCTCTTTTTAACACAAAAAAGGCATTGGTGCTTATTTGTTTTATATTTTTATTTAATAAAATTCAACATTTTATATGCAATACAATTGTGATGCAATTGTTGGATGAGTTTTGATCATTAAATACATGGAAATAATGACTGAAAACAGTTTTATGAAAGAAGAAGCGATCGGTTCAGTCAACGGCCACTTCGAAGACGTTTTTCTCTTAAATAGAGGCTCTGATTGACATCACATCACATCCATTGGTGACAATCTTTTCGTTTATTAGTCAACGGTTGTTATGTTTGACTAGTCGTTGGGTGGACTCAATATTCAAAGATAATATTCATTGACTTATACACCAAAGCAATGAATAAAAACTATTGATATTCATTTAACATGAGTTCTTCACATAACTCTGATTGAGTCTTATTTAGATTTGTTTTGTTTAATAGTTTATGATTTTTATGAAATATACTCTGTATTCAAATAGAGAAACATTCATGGTTATTTTGTTAACCAACCTTTTGTATGATATTGTAAATATTAAAAGTTTTGATTAAATCAACTTTAATAGTCTATTTTAAAAAGGTCAAGTTTATTGTAACTTGTGTTTGATTATCTATCATCTCTGATTAACACAAAAAGGCATTGGTGCTTATTTGTTTTGTATTTTTATTTAATAAAATTGAACATTGTATATGCAATACAATTGTGATGCAATTGTTGGATGAGTTTTGATCATTAAATACATGGAAATAATGACTGAAAACAGTTTTATGAAAGAAGAAGCGATCGGTTCAGTCAACGGCCACTTCGAAGACGATTCCAACAAAGACTCGGATATTATCCACACAAATATGAATCAATTTGAACAAAACGACCGAATGTGAGGCCATTTATTATTTCTCTATCCCTTTGATAGCAAATCTTTTATTTGAAAAATTACTGATAAGAGTATTGTTGAGACAAAAAGCATGAAAGCAATAAACGTTGAGTTTTCCATCAATTAATGATTTATTTATTATCTTTGTATAAATATTTGTCACAAAAAACAGTTGCAATGAAGACAATATAAGAGAGCCAGACATGGATTCAATGAAGATGTTTGTCGGACAGATACCGAGGGATTGGACTGAAACTGAGTGCCAGAAACTATTGGAACAGTTCGGAGACATTCATTCAATTAATTTGCTCAGAGATAAGAGAACCGCAAAAAGCAAAGGTATATAATTTGATTCAAAATCCAACAAACTTTTGGATCTTAAAAATTCTTTATTCTTAAACCTAATTCTTAATAAAAAGTGAGTCAACACATGAAACACATGAAAGGCTTTATTAAATAAGACTTTTTTACTCAACGCTTAAAACTAATTCACCCAAAAAACAGTCTAAACAAAGTAAACAGAGGCGTATAATATCAATATAAGCTTAACATTTAGTTAAGTTTCCAAATTAGATTTTGGTTTAATAATAAAAAACATTCTCGAGACTAGCAATTAATTTTTAATCAAATTTATGGTCGAGTAAATAAATCGATAAGGCTTTGTAATAAAGTGTGGATTGTGTTGACGATAACTTTAAGACTAAATTGAGAGCAACGCCACTGGAAAAAGTTGGTAATAGAAAGCAAAGACTTGTTGCCATTTGTGGCTATAGTTTTGGGTGATTTGGAGATCGATTGATGTTTGACTCGATCTCTTTGTCGACTCTCCAAAAATGTCTCTGAAGTGCAATCAGAATGTATTGAACGCGGGTTTCATCCAAAACTCTATTCCGAGAGCTCCTAAACAACATTGTTATGAATTATAGATGAAGTGACGGCACAGCAAACAACCAGTGCTTGCATTGCCTGCCATAGCCTTCCCTCGCATTATTCATTGTGACACTAAACTCGATGGCCATTCCTGTGCGCTCTTTCAATGTCTCTATTCCTTCACAAAAAGTCTTTGGCAAAGAATATAATACAAAGAAATTCGATGTTAAGTCTCCAAACCATAAACTCAAGGATTGTATTCAGGAAAGGCTATCAAATTCAGTGCAGTATATAGTGTACAGTACAGGATCGTTTTTATGAGTGTTTCTCATATTGAAAGTAATTTCAAAGTTTTGATAATCAATCAGTTGAATGAATGTCCACATGAGAGACATGACTTGAACTCTAATAATGTTTTTAAGAATACTTACTATTTTTCAATTGTTATGGTTTATGTTATAATTCATAGAAAACTGTTTATTGAATACATTTTCGGATATAATATTTAATGGAATAGCCATAAAATAGAGATAAAATATTTTATATGCAAAATATACTTATTGTCTGAGCTTTAACTTATGCCTCAATGTTTGTCTTGAAAGTTTTTGTATTTTAGTTTCAAATAAAGCAAGATTTGCAACACATTTTCAGTACGTTCAGATTTTGGTCTTGTTTGTTTTGTTGAATTGTCAACATTTCTATGAAATTATGTTAAAGCACTCGAAATGAAGTTGAGATGAAATCAAGAAATTTTAGACATTTGTTTGCCTTTTTGGGCAATTCTAGTAAAAACAAAGTTTGAGTTTATTATAGCAACAAATATTAGATTTATTTAAGTCGGACTCAATTATTTGATTGGTTTTTGGATCTCTTGAGGGATTCAAGTATTGTGTCCATCATTTGAGTTAAAGGTCACAACTCAGTGATAATTCGTTGGACTCCCAGAAGAACCCAAAAAATTGAAGTCAAATCCTTGTCCCCACTCAGGGATGGATTCTCGAGAAGGACTTCATCTCTGGTATCACTAAATAGGTTGGGATGGGATTCAAACCTCACTGTCTTGTCTCAAATCAATTGAATCTGTAATTTTGGGGCTTTGAAAATGTCTTCAGCTATAGAGTGAAATAGTGGACAGAATGTGCCATCAATTAAGTTGTCAATAGTGTTGAAGAATCTCTTGAGAGTCAGTGTCTGTTAGTAGTTGTGAGCGATTGAGACCAACAATGAAACGCTTGATTGAGTCGACAATGAATTGAAGGCAATATTGTATTCAATTACTGTGCACTCCATCCGACAAATACCTCTATATATCTGTGCCTTTCATCCAAATGAACGGCATTTGCAACCATTCATTCAGTGATGAAATTCCATCACAAATGAAATTCTCTCTCTTTTATTGTGTTTATAATTACTCGACTATAATATAATATTAAGTTATATAACTTTAAGTTGACTCTTATTTTGATATCAAAAACTGTCAATATATCGAAATTTGAAAGTACTTGAAAGTGCTTTAAATAAAAATTGTTATAACAATCACATAAACTAAAGTGTGTTTTGTATTTGTGATGAATAGGCTGTTGTTTTGTCACGTTTTACACAAGAAGAGCAGCACTTGAGGTATTGATTTTAGACAAATAATTGCATTTTAATTGCACTCACACTCCCGAATAGTTAATGTTATTACTAATGAAAACATATCATCTTTTGTTGATTAACTTTAGGCTCAAAACGCATTACACAATATCAGGACTCTTCCATCGGTAATGAATTACAACTTAACTGTTATTAATTTGATTTATTATTCTCTACTTCAATGTGTTTTCAATGTTAATAATACGTTAGACTTTGATTCAGAATTATTCTTTGTGTACACATTTATTTGTGTAGTCCTGTGCTCTTTATTCTGTGTTTTCATGTTTAGTGTGTTTTATGTTTGACTAATTGTATGCAAGAAATGAATTTAAATAAAGAGAAGTGAAAATTGCGGTCAAAAGTTGAGAGAATAGAAGAAAGAAGTGAATGAATGCCAGAAAGTAAGAAAGGTTTGGTTTTGTACTGATTTGTCGACTCTTTATGAATGCTCTTAAAGTGAGAGAATGGAGTAAAAAGAGAGAATTTGTCACGTTTTACACAAGAAGAGCAGCACTTGAGGTATTGATTTTAGACAAATAATTGCATTTTAATTGCACTCACACTCCCGAATAGTTAATGTTATTACTAATGAAAACATATCATCTTTTGTTTAACTTTAGGCTCAAAACGCATTACACAATATCAGGACTCTTCCATCGGTAATGAATTACAACTTAACTGTTATTAATTTGATTTATTATTCTCTACTTCAATGTGTTTTCAATGTTAATCATACGTTAGACTTTGATTCAGAATTATTCTTTGTGTACAAATCTATTTGTATAGTCCTGTGCTCTTTATTCTGTGTTTTCATGTTTAGTGTGTTTTATGTTTGACTAATTGTATTCAAGAAATGAATTTAAATAAAGAGAAGTGAAAATTGCGGCCAAAAGTTGAGAGAATAGAAGAAAGAAGTGAATGAATGCCAGAAAGTAAGAAAGGTTTGGTTTTGTACTGATTTGTCGACTCTTTATGAATGCTCTTAAAGTGAGAGAATGGAGTAAAAAGAGAGAAAGTTAGAGAGAGAGAGAGAGAGAGAGAGAGAGAGGTGTTGTTAAACGAGGCGCACATATTATGAGCCAAAACACAACTAAATTAATTTAGTGAAGAAGTGTATGACTGTATGACTGGTAGAGCGCATGCCTTATAGATGTTGTGTGAAAGGACTGGAAGTTTTGTGTAACTCTTGATATTAGTTTATATGTGGAATAGAGTGAACACAAGTGAAGTGAACTAAAGCTTAAGTTAGAGTACATATGATTTGATGGTTTGCTCTGATGTAGCATTTGTTGCGCTCTCACTTATATTGAATCCGTTTTGGACTTATGTTCACAACATGTCATACACTTATGTTTGGGATTAGTTTGCAATACTTGTGATAACTAAGAAATTATAGAAAATAATAGAAAAGTAATCAAAATAATATCTCAAACAAATGAAAGCAAACAACAGGTGCCGAACCAATAATAGAAGATTTGCTAATAATAATAACAATAATAATAATTGCAATACAAGTGATGTTATATCAAAACAGGCGAAAGACCTGATAGTGGCGGCGGCCGCACAGCTACTATTGGGTCAAAACCAATCCGTCAGTGCTATGAATAGTGCCATAAATTCTTGTGGACAGCACTGCAATAACTGCAACATCACTGATACTATCATAAGAGCCACTCAACAAATCCCGGTATGAATCCATTCAATGCAACCAATTCTTTATAAAAAGTATTATAATACTGTACTGTACTGTACATCTCAAATATAATATATAATACCCGTTTTTTCGTTTTACTTTATTTTTATTACTATTTCTCAAATTCTTGTCTCAATTTCGCCACAAATTTTTGTATCGATTTTGCGAACGAAAAGTTTTGGTTATACAATATGACTCTCTTATTAAAGAATTATCGGTGAGACTGTAATTATTCTTTTATATCCGAATTTCTCTTATAGACGAGTAGTAATGGATTAACTTTCTTATACACAAAATCATTTATTTAATTGAAAAACACATTAATTTTACATATAATCAGTAATTTTTCTTTGTTTTAAGATATTTAACCTATTCTTATAAATTTGATTTTCTAATTGATTGAGTAATTGGAAGTTATCGTCGGGTGCACCGCATTGTGTCATAAACTTTCGTATTGTATTGACTGAAGTGATAGCGTCGTTGATTTTAACATTGTCTTCGACTTCCATGTCCTCCCATTCATCGGATTCATAGTCTGGTTCTTCAAATAAATCAATAGCAGTTGTTGTCTGAACTTCAACCTCGAGATTTGTTTCGCAAACATTTAAATTTTCATCAAAGTTAACAAAATCGGTGAAATCGGTGTCATTGATATCCAAATGTCCCGTCAATTCATACCACTCTTCAATTGTTTCGCAATTTGTATTGTTTTCAATGATTTCTTGACTTTCAATGCATTCAACTTCTTCGTCAAAATTAACGCCACTTTTCTTAAAACAATTTTTGATTACGGATTCATTCAAATCATTCCATGCATTGTTTAACATAATAATGCATTCATATAATGTAATGTCATTTACATTGAACTCATTTTTCGACTCAAATAATGCAAGTAATCGGCGGACAAAAGCTCTTCTGTAATGAGACTTCAAAGTATGAATTATTCCCAAATCCATGGCTTGTAGGCAAGAAGTTGCGTTTGGGGGCAAAAACACGAGTTTAACATTACTCATAGGTATGAATGGGTGGGCCGTACAGTTGTCGAGTATTAAAGCAATTTTGCGGTCGCTTTCGATCATTCTTTTGTTTAATTTTGTCAGAAATTTGGTGAATATTTCTGTTGTCATCCAAGACTTTTCGTTATATCGGTAAACAACAGGTACAGCCTTTTTCCCGCGAAAACATCTCGGCATTCGGGAGCGACCAATGACTATCGGCTTAAGTTTTTCAGTGCCAGTACTATTCGCACAAATTAACACTGAAATACGTTGTTTACTGCGCTTTCCACTTTTGAATGCCTGGCCCTTAATAGTGAATGATTTGTTTGGCATTAGTCTCCAAAAGAGTCCAAATTCGTCGCAATTAAAGATATCATTCGTGTCATAACCCCTCAGATATTCCGGTAATTTATTTGTAGTCCAATCGGTGCACAACTCTTGAGAAACACCACTCGCTTCGCCATGGATTATCTCAAATTTCACATCATTTCTTCGTTTGAACCGATTAATGAATCCATTATTAGCCTTGAATTGGTGGTAACCTAAAGTAGGTGCCAATTGGTCAGCCTTTTCCATGAGAATCGCTGTATTAATTGGTAATCCATTTGCTGTAGATTTTGCCACGAATTCAATTAAAGACTTCTCGAGTTCTGGATAATTACATTTTCTTAATGATTTAACATTTGATGGCAAAGTCTTCTCAAACGCATTGATTATATTCTCTCTTTGAGACTTGATTTGATAGACATTTTTGATATCAATGCCATTTGAGGCATACTTCTTCACGATGTCGTCGTAATCACATTTATTGTCAATAAGTTTTATGATTTTATACTTTAGATCTAAAGTAAATCGTTTGCGTTTGCTTTTTGATGACATTCTGACCACTTATTTAAACATGTCTCGGGATGTCGTGTTTGGCACCAAATACTCAATGAGACCTACGTTGGACCCAATGTGACGATAGTTCCCTACAAACTGCTGAGTGATGTCTGTTTGGGTGGTCCTTAGATCACACTATACGGCGAACCGAATCCCAAGCAAGTGTTGGCCCGAAAGGTGGTCACCGAAGACGTGTGGAGAGAGTGATGTGTCTGCAGACGAAACGATTGGTCGCATCAAATGAAATGCCAACAAATGGCACAATAGTTCACACAAATTGATAGCAATTTAAAGTTTAGTCCATTAGATTCCCGTCTTCGTGTGTCACCTATTCATTGATTGTCTTGTTTTCAGTACTTTCAACACAAGTGATGGTATAGACTTCGATCAAGTGTTGACCGAAATGCAGACACCCTTTGTGTCCCACAAGAGGTTCTATTCTTTCTGTCACTATCAGATCATCGACAATGAAGTAGTCATTCAAATATCGTAACACTTCATACAAATTGATAGCAATTTAAGATTACTGTAACAAAACTTTGATTATCTTATAACTAATTTAATAGCATTTAATATCATAAATATTAAACAATTTTTATTAGTGACACGTTTTTAAACGTTTCATTCATTGAATGAAACCTTTCAGTAGTTTTTTACAGTTTTAGATATCAAATGTGTAAACTATCAGTCATTTCATTAGTTCCCTAAAATGTGATTCTTTTATATCCAATGCACTATTTGTTCTATGGGTGCACATGACTACCGTCTCTTGTATACGAATTTCTCTTATTGACAATTCTTTAATATCCGAGTCCTTATACATTACGGGCCCATAGGAACGGCCGGTGCATAACATTTGTCTCTTTTATATAAGGGTTTCTTTAATATCAGAGTCGTTTATATGCGAGTCTTATTGTATNTATCCAATGCACTATTTGTTCTATGGGTGCACATGACTACCGTCTCTTGTATACGAATTTCTCTTATTGACAATTCTTTAATATCCGAGTCCTTATACATTACGGGCCCATAGGAACGGCCGGTGCATAACATTTGTCTCTTTTATATAAGGGTTTCTTTAATATCAGAGTCGTTTATATGCGAGTCTTATTGTATTATATTCCCTGTTATAATATCTGAAAGTTTGCATCTCATTGAATGAGTCGTTTTTGTTTGTGTTTATTTGTTTCGCAAACATTTTATTTTAATTTGCATTTATGGGTTCATACAGAGTGTGAATTTGTCTCCATTTTCGGTAA